CGCTGTCAGCAGTATCCTCTATCCCTTGTTCTGGTCAGTGTCTCAGTACCCATTCAGCCCCTGTGGCCTCCCAAAACCTACCTATTCCCAAATCATTCTTTTCAGGGATTGCTTCCTCACACCCATACAAAATGTTGCCCTACTATAAAAAAGTTCCTCTGTTTCTGCAGAAAAAGGATAAGATAAAAGCTGATTTTGAATACAACATTGTTGGCTGGGCTCCCTATTACTCAGGCATTGTCCCATCATCACAAGTTTTATGGGAAAATTAAACTCTTAGCTTACTCAATGCTCTTTCAGCCCAGTACTTTAACTGGAAACCATCATAAAATTCTCATGTGTTTTGGTGAAGAAACTTGTGTAAGAAGCTGGATGTACTGCACTGATTCAGTTCAAGATGGGGCTTCTAGATGCTGGTCTTTCACCTTGCTATCTATGCCAAAGAGAGAAAAGGCTTTTTAAACGTGCTAAGGATGAGAAAGTGATAAAGAAAGCATTGATGCAGTCTGCCCAGTTGCTGGCATATATGAGTCCCTGAGACCGCAGCCCTTCTGCAGTTGCTGGCGCAGACCATCTCAGCCCCACAAATATGCAGAGCTGTCTGGGACTCCCCTGGTCCCCAACAGTCAGCCCCTCCATGGCTGTATCCTTAGAGACACAGAACCACTCTCGAACCCTGTCAACACCGGGAGCACCCTGATCCCCCAGTAGTCACCACCCTTTGGTCTTGCCCTTTAGACACACACACACACACACCCCTCCCTCATCCCTTGAGACCCCCCAGACCCTATGGCCTCTCCAGCAGCTGGCTAGGACTCCCCTGGTCCCCAGTAGCCACCTGTCCCATGGTTTCACCCTTAGAGACACCCCTGACTCCCAGCTCACTTCACCTACCAGCTGGACAATCCAGCTTGACCTTCACTAGTGCTCACATGATCACTCATACACCTGCACTTGCCCCAACTAAGCAGCACAGGCAGACGGGCCCTCCAACACATGGTCTGACTCCTGTTGCTGCACTCAGACCCCCGTACACATGTCTCACAGTAAGTCCTGTGCAAGCCTGAAATGCTCTTCCCCCATAATGTGCCCCATTCCTCTAGGCAACAACATCCCCTTAGTCTGAAAGATGTTCTAGTGTTGACTCATTTGATGAGTTTCATGCCTGGACCCTGGGCATGAGAGTTTGCTGGGGCAGCCCTGGGAGGGGCCCAGCCAGGGTGTTTGTTTCTTTGAGTCCTTACTTCGAGTTCCTGCCTGCCTCTGTGCCCCTGGGCTCCTCCAGGCATGTTGAGAAGGGCCTTTGATGGGACAATGGCCTCTGTGATACAGAGAAATGATTACTTGTTTTGAGATGTATTTACTTATTTACTTATAGAAAACTGCTTAGCAACTTATTTACTTATTTATAGCAAGTTACAATATTTTTTTAAATATTGCTGAGAATCCTGCTTGCTCAGACTGTTCTGTGGAATTTTACCAAGGACTACTGTGTTCAACAAAACAAAGCAGTTCACTGTGAAAATCTACCAAGGATTACAATGTTCAGCAAAATATACTTTTGTCCTTGAGTAACAGGTGGCTCTAACTACTTGGAATTTTGCTAATGAGTAAAGATAGCCATATACGAATGGTAGAAGTTCCATTGATTCTCTTAGATAAGATAGAAAGAGTAAACCGGCTGAAAAACACTCTTGTTATTCAAGAAATGGGCCAAGACAATCTGCGCATGCTCCGGGGAAAAAACAAGGTGAGAAAGACTACGAGCCTTCCTCCCAAAGACCCCCGAAGACGCCCAGCAGGAGGCGATGCACAGGTGCAAAGATGACATAAACTGCTGACACCAGCCTTTCGAACTAACCCAGCCTTACTCATGCATATGTATGTTTGTGTTACGTAATCCAGTGAATATGGATATCCACACTCTATACGTTTTCGGTAAAATGTGCGATGGGTGTTCAAGCTTTGTGGAGACATCCCCTTGCACCCCGGCGCCAGAGTAAACATACCTGCTTTAGAACCCTATTCGAGTTGTGGAGTCTTTTTTTCTGCAAATCACCTGGGAGTAGCCAGGATGGTGTTAATTGGATTTCCCCCCACCATTGTCTCTCCTTGCTCCTTTGTGGGTGTGCAGACCAGCTTTTAGTGGGGGGATATTAGGTTATGTGACAAAAGATACAAGCCATCCTCTCTCCTTGCACAGCACTTCGCAGACATCTCTTTCACCTCCTGGTAGGGCTTTTGGCTGGAGCTGCAGGGCCTGCCCTTCTGTAGCCTTGCTTTAGTATCTCCATGGCATTGCTAAGCTATGTTTTGGTCCTGCAGGCTGTCGTATGGCATTTCATTGCCCCAAGCCATGAGCAGATCCGGTCCCATCACCATTCTGGCTCTTCTTTGAATCCCTCCCCAAACATATTCCCCCAGGGAAGTCCCTGGGCCTTCAGGGGGAAGTGTAAGCACACTCAGGGGATGCCTGAGCAGAGTGTCCTAGACCTGCTGACTCTCCCTATGCCCAACCCAGAATTTAAAAACAGAAGGTTGGTATATAGAGATGAAGAAGATAGAAGTAGGGCAAAAACCATTAAATTGTTAATATAGTAGGTGAGGCTGAAATTTCTACATTTTGTCAAAGGCCCACAGCATTCCTGTATGAACTGGAGCCCTGATACCCAACTATGTACAGCTCAGTGAGAACAACCTTTGCAGCTGTTGATACTCCTCTGTATCTGAACTGGGTTTCTCCCATTAAGAATTGTGAAGAATATGGTGGTGATTCATGTTAAAAATATAATGACTTCAATATGAGGAGCATGGTGCTGCTGATGTTTTGCTATGTACCTAAGTTGAAAGAGATTTATTGTAATTTATTGTTAAAATGGTTTGGAGGTTTTTTATCAAGTACAGACTCATATGGACAGTTACTGCAAATGTGGAAAAGTACTGGAAAATCCCCTGTCAGAAGGACTCTCGTTTTAGCGAGAAAAGGCGTGGAAAAACAATGGCAGAAAAGCTGAGAAGATTCGAGAAACTCCACTGCGCTCCAAGAAAATGGAGCAGAGGTTTGGGGAGGCAATCTGTACCCCTTACGGGAAGTGCTTATGGGAGAAAGCGCGGGGGGAACAGGATTTGTAAGTGTCCCCCTTAACACTGGAGACGTGAGAGCATTCGAGAAAGAAATGAGAAAACTTAGATGACCCATTAGGGGTATCTGAAAGGCTTGATCAATTCCTGGGACCTAACATCTGTACCTGGAATAAAATGCAGTCAATTATGGGAGTCCTCTTTACGACGGAGGAAAGGCAATTATTAGTTAAGATGGAATGAGTTTGTGGGAACTGCAAAATCAAGCAGGGCTGCCGGCAGATCAGAAATGGCCCAATGTCCGCCCTAATTGGGATCAACAAGAACAGGGCCGACAGAATATAAGGAACCTTAGAAATTTAACAGTGGCCGGCATTAGAGAAGCAGTTTCTCGGGGGCAAAACATTAATGAAGCCTTTAGTGAACATCAATGGAGAGATGAATCACCCACTGATTGGCTAGAAAGAAAGAATTTACAAACGTATAATATTCGGGGGTAGACCCGACACGCCTTGTGGGATAGGCTTTATTGAAAAGTCAATTCGTAGCCAATTCGTGAGGTGCTATCAGGAAAATGTTAGAAAAAGTAGACGCCGGGCAAGACTGGAGTTTCCAGGAGCTATTAAGAGAAGCACAGAAAGTGTATGTTAGGAGAGACGAAGAAAAGCATAAAGCAAAGGCAAAAATATTTGTTGCGGCAGTCAGAGAAACTCAGCGGAGAGGAGAAATCTCCGAGATCTCATTCTACTGCGTTTACCTGGAGCTTTGGGTGGTGAAAAGAGAGGGGCAGTAATTAGAGATACAAATTAGCATGTTATTGTTGTGGAAAGAAGGGACACTTACAGCAGAATTGTTGAAAGCAGGAGCAGGATAAAAGGACGTTTAAAGAATAGGGGAGTCGGGAGCTCTGTTCTCTGGGGACAAAGACGTCAAAGGAGCATTTGATAAAATTAAGTCCCCAAAGAGAAGAGTTTGAATTTTTAGTAAATATGGGTGCAGAAAAATCAACTGTAAGAAATATTTCGAGGGGATGTAAAGTAAACAAACAAACAAAAAAAAAAACAACAAAAAACCAAAAAAAACACACATACAAAAACAAAAAACCCCACAAACCACCAAAACCACCAGAACTGCTCTAGTAATAGAAACTAAAGAAGAACCATTTAAAGTACCAATTGTCGGGAATGTTAAGAAAGAATGCCAACATTGTATAATTACAGAGGATTTATTATTGCTACCAGAAGCTAAAAATAACCTTTTAGGAAGCGATTTCATTATGAAGCTGAGATTAAAAATACTACTACAAAAAAAAAAAAAAGTATACATTAACGGAAAAAGACGAGCAACAGATAAATCCTAAAGTCTGGTATACAAAAGGAGAGATTTGAAAGCTTAAACTAATGCCTATTAAAATTGATATAATTGATCCGGAGACACCAATTCAGATAAAACAATACCCCATTCCCCTAAATGGTCAAGAGGGGCTGAAACCAATTATAGACGAATTATTAAGTAAAGGCACATTGTAACCTTGTATGTCTCCACATAATACACCTATTTTACCGGTTTTAAAATCAGACAAATCTTATAGATTGATGCAAGATTTAAGGGCTGTAAATCAGCAAACTGTGTCTTGTTTCCCTGTGGTAGCAAGCCCCTATATGCTGCTTAACCAAATCCCCCTAACTGTATTTGGTACAGTGTAATTGATTTAAAGGATGCATTTTGGGCTTGCCCCCTGGACGAGGGGAACAGAGACTATTCTGCATTTGAATGGGAAGACCTATCTAACAATAGAAAACAACAACTCAGACGGACAGTGCTTCCCCAAGGGTTTACAGAATTGCCTAACCTTTTTGGGCAGGCGTTAAAAAAGTTAATGCAGACATTCAAGCCATCCTCATAAATAAAGCTTTTACAATATGTAGATGATTTATTAATAGCTGGACAAACTGAGAATGATATCAGGATGGGGACTATAGAATTGCTGAACTTTGTAAGAGAAAAAGGATTAAAGGTTTCAAAATCTAAATTACCATTTGTGGAAAATGAAGTACTTAGGACACTGGCTTAGTAAAGGGAAAAATATATTAGATCCTAAAAGGATATCAGGAATACTGTCTTTATCAGCACCCAAAACAAAAAGATAAATTCGTCAAGTATTAGGATTATTAGGCTACTGCCGACAATGGACAGAGGGATATAGTGAAAAGGTAAAATTCTCATATGAGAAGCTAGTGTTTGACAGGTTGAAATGGACTGAGGAGGATGAGAATAGATTTCAGAAACTGAAAGAAATACTGGCTAAGCCTCCAGTGTTAAATTTACCAGATGTTAAAAAGTCTTTTCAATTGTTTATAACCACCAGAGCGACTGCTCAATCAGTAACTAAAATATTACTGGAACAAATTATACCATGATTTGGAATTGTAAAAAAGCATTTGATTCAGATCAAGGTACTCATTTCACATCTAAAATCATAAAGTTGGTTACAGAAGCTCTGGGCATTACTTGGGAATATCACACTCAGTGGCATCCACAAAGTTCTGGACGAGTAGCGCAAATGAATCAGACCTTGAAACAACAGTTATCTAAATTAATGATAGAAACTAAACTCTCATGGATTAAATGCTTACCCTTAGCCTTACTCCATATTAGAACAATGCGAAATTCAGAGACAGGTCTCTCACCTTTTGAGATGCTATAGGGGATGCCATATTCCCAAGGTGTGCCTTTAGGGCATCCATTAATAGAAGACATGACAATTCAACAATATATTAAAATTACTGAAAAAAACCTGAACGAATTAAGAATGAAAAGAATATTAGCCCAGACATCTCCTTTAGGATTTGCAGTACACAAAATACAACCTGGTGATAATGATTAAAACTTGGAAGGAGGAAAGTTTATCTCCTAGATGGGAAGGACCATTCCTGGTGTTGTTACTGGTTTTATTATCAAGTGAAATGAAATTGTGTTTAATATAAGTATAGAGTTAAAAGATATTCTAGTAAAAATCATTTTACATTTATTGTATTTTGAATATAGCAACTGAGAGCTACTCTAAAATTCCCTGTACAGCCCTGTACCAAGGCTGAAGGGATTGGTCATAATTGTTTAGTAGGAACGGTTAGAACCTAGGTAACAAAACACAAGGTGATTTGTAAACAGATTTATAATACATATATAGGACTAGAAGAATGCAGGTAGTTGTCAAGGTCCAGGATTAATGGGAACTGAGGGAAGTAACCATAATAGCTTGCAGGTACCTGCCAAGAAAACTGTGTTCTTAAGCAAAAGGTAATTCTGGCAGGGGGAGATCACAACCACCGACTCATGGACCACCTACTCACATTACACTCCAGACCCATTTCTAACCTTTACTGCACAGAATCGGAAATAGGAAGAGAATATGTTAATGATTTCTTGGAAGTTGTATGCTTATGTATGAAGACTTAATGAATATGTATGAGAAAGTTCTATATAAGGTGTATGATTCTGGTGCTCTGCACGTGTTGTTGGTGAGAGCACTCCCCTACACATCTGGCCGTCAATAAAGAAGTGTCTGCTTATCTACATCACATTGGTGTCAATGTTTTTATCCCAGTTTTCAGTGACAGTGTTACTGACTATGGAGACAGCTGTAAGAACTGCTAAAAGAGGATAGACTTATATTTCCAAAGTGAAAGGACCAGTCACAGGTGAACCCAATTGGGAGATCGAGTCAGCACCTGGAGATCTGAAGCTTCAAATACAACGAAGTTAAAATAAGACTCGACTTATTGAAACAGACTAAGTAACATCAACAGTAGTGAGATCCTGAATCATCTACATGAACGCTGTGTGTATGTATATATGTTAAAAAGTTATAATATCTATGATTTTTGGCTTTAGACTGTTTCACATAAAAATGTAAGTCAGTTCATACAGTTAATAAAAAGAAGAGTGGGAGAAAAACTGATGATAAGTCCAAGTGATGGCAAGACTGGATTGGCCTCCATTTTTGCTGTTAAGAAGATACAAACCTGACCGTTGGCAGGAACCCAATGGGTCCAGGGGTAAACAGAAAAATGTGCCATACCGGACTTCACTATAGTAGCTGACTTTTTCTCCTCACTATATATGTTAATGACTTTATAATGGCTAAAAAAGGGTCAAAATATTACCAGACCATATGACCCCTTTGAAGATAATGAATTTGTTCTATTAGCAAAAACTTTAAGTAAAACCTTCAATTTAAGTCACTGCTGGGTTTGTGGGGGACCTTTAGGGTTATCAAGCTGGCTGTGGGTCTCTGTACCGCTTTCCCCGTGACAAATTGTAACTACAGTGATGTTAGTAATGCTACCTGGGAAGAGAGTGAAACATGGCCAGTTCAGTTCCCCAACAAAGGTAAATTTTGCTTGAACCGAACTCGGAAAGGAGGAGTTGATGTGGGAGAAAGTAAGTGCCAGTGGACACTTACACATACCATGAATGATTCCATGTTTTATTAGATTGATTCATTCAGTCATTCAAGGGATGCAAATCTTGGCAATACCAATGAATCCTGAATTGGCCAAAGGAGAAAAAGTACACTCACTAATGATAATTAAGATAAAGAAAACAGAACGCCGAAATCCTCTACAACGAACCCTAGAACAATTTGAAACCCAAACATGAATCAATTTAAAATAAAAGGCGAAGGATGTGAAGAATATGGTGGTGATTCATGTTAAAAATATAATGACTTCAATATGAGGTGCATGGTGCTGCTGCTGTTTTGCCATGTACATAAGTTGAAAGAGATTTATGTTAAAATGGTTTGGAGGTTTTTTATCAAGTAAATACAGACTCATATGGACAGTTACTGCAAATGTGGAAAAGTACTGGAAAATCCCCTGTCAGAAGGTCTCTCGTTTTAGTGAGAAAAGGAGACGCCAGAAAAGCTGATTTGAGAACTCCACTGCGCTTGTGTGGAGTAAACCACACCCATCTTATGAATATGTATTAGAAAGACTATAAAGAGTGGTGGGTTTGTTTACGCTTTGTTGTCGCGCATCCATTCAGACGGCATCTTCCGTCCGTCAGTGCGGAGCAGAAAACCACCCCCCCCCCCC